GGAGACGAAGAGACAGACAGAGAGAGAGAGAGAGAGATGAGAGAGCGAGAGGGGGGGGGGGATAAATGGAGATGGAGAAAGGAGAGGATGAGGGAGGGTAGAGGATTGCGAAAGAATGGGGGAGAGAATTCATACACATCGCTCTACGGGAGGGGCAAAAAGAAAAGCGGGGTGGGTCTTTCGAAGCAGATTAGATGTAACAATGTTGTGTTTGGAATACTTCGAAGAAGAACGGTTACAACGGTTATACTCGCACGCTCAAGACAGCCTTAAGGCCTATTTACACGATGCGTCCTAGACGTACGTCCAGGACTTATCCGATTTGCACGTACGTCTAGGACGCAACGGTGAATCTGTTTACACGGTAAGTTTTGGACGTACGTCCAGGACTGAGAACAATATATACATGCATTGTGTGTGTGTGTGTGTGTGTGTGTGTGTGTGTGTGTGTGTGTGTGTGTGGTGTGTGTGTGTGTGTGTGCGTGCGTGTGCGTGTGCGTGTGCGTGTGCGTGTGGTGGTGTTCTCTGTCTGTGTCTGTGTCTGTGTAAGTCTGCGTATGTGTATGTGTATGTGTCTGTACATAAGTGTGTGCCAGCGTCCGCGCTCCTTACTATTTCATTACCATCGCAAGTGTTTGAGATTTGAGAAATACAGATAATAAATGCGTGGGTCAGGCTGGCCCGCGTGCAGATAGGGGCGCCGTCTGGTGGACGACTCCGAAACCCGTAGTACTGATAACTTTAGACGTGCCATCCGGCGAAGTGTATAAAACTGGCCGGTGTTAGCTGCCGCTACCGCCATCTCGTGTCGAATATTTCAAACGATCGTTTTTTTGGCAGGCCGGATTTCGGGTAATGCTATCCCCCGGGCGTGGAGGAACACCGCAACGTGGCAACACTAGTATTAGGATTAATATTATTAGTATTAGTATTAGTATTCACCCACGGATTTCACGCAGTCGGTGTAGCATTGTATACATCCCCCCCTGTTGCAAACGCCCCCCCCCACCGGTCCACGTTGCGCGTGGGCGATGAAAGTCAAATCCGAGTCACAGCTACGACGTGCCTCGGTCGTCGTTTAGCATATACATGGCCGACGGTTCTAAGCCGACGCATCGAAAGACGCAACGCGACTCGCGAAACTTTATGCTAATCTCTAGGGCGCGCTCGTTTAGATTTTAATAATTTTAATTATAATTACGTGCGATAGAGTGGAGATGGGCGGCTATATCGATCCGTGTTCATCAAACTCCAGTCATGTGTGTGCGTGTGCGATGCGTGCGTGCGTATATGTGCGTGTGCGCGCGTGTATGTGTGTGCGTGTTTTGTGTCTGTCTGTGTAGGCGTGCGCGCGTGTCTGTGTGTGGGTCCGTGCGTGGTTGGGTATGCGTCCACGCGCGTGCGTACGTGCGCGTGTGCGCGAGTGTGTAGACGTGCGCGCGCGTGCGTGCGTGTGCGTGTGCGCGGGTGTGTAGGCGTGCGAGCGTGCATGCGTGTCTAATGCAGAAGATTAGCATTCATCCTAACGGCGATGCATCGCTTAAAACCCCGCAGAATTCCATCGGCTGTAAAAACCGCATAATTTATTAAAATTAATAAGCAGTCGCCACTAGGTTGCGCTGCGAGCGACTTCATCCCTCGTCGACTTTTGTCGAAAAAATTCCGTATAGCGTTAGGTAACATCGCCTGATGATCACGTAATCCGCATTTTGTTTTCACACGCGTAAGAACACGTTAGGGAAAAGGTTATGATTATGGTATTGATTAGAACCGCAGTCACCGTTAGGGTTAGCATTAGAGTTTTGTTTTTTTGCTATGCCTATATGGTTATAGTTGTAGTTATGGTTGCGGATGGGGGTAGTTTTGTGGTTAGGGTTATTGTTGAGGGTCAGTGCTAAGGTTGAACACATAGCTAGCACAAGGTTGAAGTTTTACCCATGCGGCCAGATCACGTGACGACCCCTAGCGATATGGATTTCATTGCTAACGATGGCGACGCGGTTGCGTCACTGCTTGCGTCACGGCGAACAATATATCTGCTGATGCGGACAGCGGCGAGACACGCGACACGTCGCATTACAGCTGCAAGTGGTAGTGGTGGTGATGGTGATGGTGGTAGTGGTAGTAGTGGTAGTGGTGGTGATGGTGGTGGTGGTGGTGGTGGTGGTGGTGCTGGTGGTGGTGGTGGTGGTGGTGGAGGTGGAGGTGATGGTGGTGGTGTTGTTGTTGCTGTTGTTGTTGCTGCTGTTGTTGTTGTTGTTGTTGTTGTTAGTGTTGTTGTTCTTGTTGGTGGGGGTGGTGGTGGTGGTGGTGGTGTTGGCGGAGGTGGAGGCGGTGATAGTGATGGTGACGCCGGCGATGGTGGGAACGTCGTGGTATACTGCATGAATATGTTCATTCAATGGGATAGATAATTGCGCGAATAAAAACGTGCAGTATACGCTAACATCTGCACAACGGTCCGGTCCATTTTGGCTAGTTCAGTTTAAACACAGGCCTTATTATCCGAGAGTTTAAGCTTCGCAACGACGCGTCGTCCCTTCCTCATACAGTGCGCTCTCTCGCATTAATCGCCTGCAATCGACCGCCACCACGCTAATTGGATAGGTAATTAATTGGCTCTCGATTAGCGATGTCCGCTTCGTCAAACTAACCGCGTGCGCATGTCGCTGCAGGGGTTGGAAAGTCGCGCGCCCTCGACCTGAGCCAGCTCATCAAGGATGCCGAGGAGAAGACGAACGATCTCACCAACGCTATCCTCAACACGACGCCCGGCAGTACGGCGCTCATCAAGGTAAGGCGGCGTCGCTGCGGTAGCGCCGTATACCGAGCACGCGTACGCACGCGGCCGCGACAGCTGCGGCGTGCCCAGCCTGTTCTGCTAGTATCTATATGCCAAATACGACATACGCATATATACGCTCTCCTATGACACTATTTGTCATAGGAAGATTCTTCCTATGACAATGTCAAATATTGGCGATTCAACTTCGTTCTGCTTTACAGCTCAAATTCACTGCTTGCGTTCATAATAGCGCTCCTAAACTCCTATGATGCGCACAACACATACAACAATATTGGCCATATGAAGAATCTTCCTATGACAAATATTGTCATAGGAGAGCGTATATGCGTATGTCGTATTTGTCATAGATGCAAGCAGAGCATGTTGCCACGGGGCACGCCCGCACGCGGTCGTGACAGCATCGGCACACTAGCCCCCCCCCCCCCCCCCCCCCCCTCACACGGACACGTCGACAGCATCGGTACGCCACGGGGGGGGCACGAACTACATTCAGCCGCGGCGAAAGACGGCGACGTTCTGACGAATGTGTCGCGTGGTTGTGTGGCCTTGCCGCATGACCTTGTGATCTGTCTCGCTGCGGTGTCGTCTGCGCTGGCAGGGAGGAGTTTGTTGAACCAGCGATGTTGATTAATATATGATCAGGCGCGTTTCGTCGCAAAGCCAATAATAACGTCGTCGGTAGACACAAAACGTACTTGACCGATGCCGATTGATTCGCATCGATCTGTATTCTTCGTCGCACTCGACTCCCCCCTCCTCTCCGCGAAACGTCCATCCTCAATCTCCGCGTCTCCGCCTGATTGACCTTGGCACGTCCTTAGAGAGACGTCGGGATATGACCGGGGAACGTGCTCACGCGAGTCTGTTCTATTTCCTTATAGGAGATTGAGAAGCAGCTGGATTTCTGGGAGTGGAAAACTGACATTGCCAAGCAGATGAAAGCAGCGTACGACCACGCAAGTAAGTTCTCTTCTGCTTCTGCTGCTCCTCCTCCTCCTCCTCACCCTCCTCCTCATCCCCCCGTCGTCGTGCGTCCCGGAAGCAAGCTCCGCGGCGACTGTCCGAGAAAAAACCCCAGTAAAATGGGTGGTCGCGTCGTCGCTTCCGTCGACCGTCTTATGAGATTCGTAAGACGACCACTCGCGACGTCGATTACTGTCAGTGCTTTGTGTGTACCCGGGCGTCCATAACTCCCGGACATTGCCAATAAATGGGTGTGTTGTCGTTGTGTCGGCGGGCTCTGTCGAGTTCGCGGCAGAAACGACGACGACGACGACGACGACCATCGTGTAGCAAACGTGTTTTGCTATATGTGTTGCTAATCGTTTTAGATGCGCCCGACCCACCGACGGATGTGTCGTTGACCGTAAGCAGTCCGACGTCGTTGCTAGTGCGGTTTCAGCAGCCAGAGGATTGCAATGGCGCCCTTGTGACGTGGTATAAAGGTAACGCGTGAGATTTCTTGCCTTTCTGCGAGCGTACTTGCCTGCGCGGGTGTCGCGACCGCCGGCAAAAAAAATCTGGCGGTTGTGAGCCCTCGACAAGCGGCGGCCGTTTTAGCGAGAGCCTGTATTACGTCGGCTGCCGTGCGTGACGTGGTAATCCACTGCTGGCAGCCTTCATTTACGGCAGCAGGATGATTGCGGCGCGGCGTGGTGGAGTGGTGATTCTGGTGGAGTCTCTCTAAATCTCGCTCCATCGCCACCCTAGATTAACGATGTCAGGTGAAGCATCAACATTTTCGAAAATTACGTATGCTTATTTTAAATTCACTTTAACTATATATATATATATATATATATATATATATATATGTGTGTGTGTGTGTGTGTGTGTGTGTGTGTGCGTGCGTGCGTGTGTGTGTGTGTATGTGCGTCACGAAGATATGTATACTACATGGACTGTATCATCGCTGCTCGTCGTTGTTGAAGTCAGATTTCTCGCTTGCTACCATAGAAATATGTAGAGACGCCTATATAGCAGAGTCTACCTATATTAATTCTATGCTTGCTATCTTTTGCAGTGGCACGCTGCGTAAGACCGCCAGCGTGGACTCGATCCATCTGGTGCCGGAGATCAAGTGCGAGCATCTGGCGATGTCGCCGATGGTGCACACCAAGTTCAATAAGAAGCTGCTCATTCCCATGTCGCCGAGCATGCCCAACCGCCTCTACCGCAGCCGCTCAGGTAAATATACACTTGTCAGGTATATACATATGTACAAGAGCCTATTAATCATACTAATACGCTCTTGATATGTACCTGTACCTGACGCGTTGTACGCCGAAACACATACACGCATGCACGCACGCACACACACGCGCGGACGCATGCACACACACACACACACACACACACACACACACACGCACACGCAC